AAAAAGAAAGAGAGATTCCTGTGGTACCTTTTAGTCTAACAGAAGTATAAGGAGCATAAGTTGTCATGGGTAAGAACCTCACTTCTTCAGATGCAAGTAATGGAAATCTCCAGAGGCAGGTATAAATCAGTATGGAGATAATGAGGTTAGTTCAATCAGGGAGGGTGAGGTGCTCTGCTAGCAGTTGAGGTGTGAACACCAAGGGAGGAGAAGCTGCTTCTGTAATTGGATAGCCATTCACAGTCTTTGTTTAATCCTGATCTGATAGTGTCAAATTTGCAAATGAACTGGAGCTCAGCAGTTTCTCTTTGGAGTCCGGTCCTGAAGCTTTTTTTGCTGTAAGATGGCTACCTTTACATCTGCTATTGTGTGGCCAGGGAGGTTGAAGTGTTCTCCTACAGGTTTTTGTATGTTACCATTCCTAATATCTGACTTGTGTCCATTTATCCTCTTGCGTAGTGACTGTCCAGTTTGGCCAATGTACATAGCAGAGGGGCATTGCTGGCATATATAACATTGGTGGACGTGCAGGTGAATGAGCCGGTGATGTTGTAGCTGATCTGGTTAGGTCCTGTGATGGTGTTGCTGGTGTAGATATGTGGGCAGAGCTGGCATTGAGGTTTGTTGCATGGGTTGGTTCCTGAGTTAGAGTTGTTATGGTGCGGTGTGTGGTTGCTGGTGAGAATATCTTAAAGTAGGCAGGTTGTCTGTGGGTGAGGACTGGCCTGCCTCCCAAGGTCTGTGAAAGTGAGGGATCATTGTCCAGGATGGGTTGTAGATTACTGATGATGTGTTACGGTCTCCAAATCTTACCCATGAAAGCTTATGCTCCCAATACTTCTGTTAGTCTTAAAGGTGCCACAGAACCCTCTGTTGCTTTTTACAGATTCAGACTAACACTGCTACCCCTCTGATACTTGACATTATGCTAAACAGTCTATTCCACCTTGTAGTTAGCTGTGACGGTTACCTTTCCCAGATCTGAAGAAGAGCTCTGTATCTCCAGAGCTTGTCTCTCTTGCCCAAAGAAGTTGGTCCTATAAAAGGTATTAGCTCACCCACCTTGTCTCTCCAGATCCTGAAAGGCATTTAGGTGCCTAACTCCCAGTGATTTCAATGGGAATTAGGCTCCTCAATGCCTTTGAGTATCTGGGCCTTATCCTCCCCTGTGCCTCAGTCCCTGACCTGTAAAATGGAGATAATTGCACTGCCCTACCTCTCAGGGGCATTGTGAGGGGAAAAAAAAATTAAAGATTTTTAGGTGCTTAGATACAACAGAAACAGGGTCTATATACGTACTGTCATAGACAAACTGTCTCTATATCACACTCCTTGCCATAAGTCTGAGCCATCTTATAAATTAAAAAAAAAAAAAACCAACACACACAAACCAACCAATTTCATTGGCCCCCAGGTGGAGGGGAAATTTTCTGCCTGGCAGTGTGGTTTTTAGGGGAAAGCTAGTTCAAAGCAGCTTATGTCATATTTTGTTTTCAAGACACTGAGGTTTGTACTCATGCTGATGCGTTCCAGGAAGTTCTGCATACAAGAGAGAGTTCTGTAAAAGTGCTGCATCCAGTGCTTGCTCGTACTCTACATTAGAAAGGGCAAAGTTTAAGGTTGAACTTGCAACTTGCTGTCTCTTTGGCCTTATGAAGTATGATACACTTTACTGAGAAATCTCATTCAGTTTCTCAATTAAATTCCACAGCCTTAGGTCCATGTCTCTATAATAATCTGCAATCACATAAATAGAGACAGTATCATAATGCATAAGGGCAAAGTTCATTTATTAAGGCAATTTATACAGCACCTATATACACAGTAACTAGATGTACTTTATGAGCAGTAACATTTCTCAAGTATAAGGAGCAAGCTTACTACAGCACCTGCTGAAACTTTACAAGCAGAAATGGGAAATCCTCCTCCTAGAGTGAACACTTGGGGTACTGGAGCTACCAGTTAGTGGAAAGCCTGGGAAAAGGTGCATCTTATAGCATTTCCTGAACAGACTTTAGTTTAGATGCATTTCCAGAAGTGAAGACCTCATGTTGGCTCCTCAAGCCTCATCCTTGGGACATTTAGATTAATTGTTCCAGACCGACACAAATGGTGCAGTGGATCAGACTGGGAGCAGTGGTCTCTGAAATAGTTAGACTAGGAATTTTAAGGCTTCAGGACTTCAGCTGATAAGCAGCACTTTAAATTTCCTATCTTGATCACTGTCTTCTGTGCCATTGCTAGTAACCTGCAGCTCACTGTATGCACTGGTGTGGCTCTGAGCGGAGCCCACTCATGAGCTAGTCAGTGCAACTGTACCTTTGAGTGGCTTTTACCTTTCATTTTAGTATTTAAATGGCAAGATACACTCCTGCTCATCTGTTGCAAGTATTCAGTTTAGATTGATTTCAGTAGGTTACATCTTGCTTTGGTCCTGGAATTCTGCATCAGCACATACACCCTTAGATCAGCATGTGACTTCTGATGGAGCAATCATACGGGAAGAGATTCCTGGAGAAATATTTGACACAGTGAGATTGTGCAACTCCTAATACCTAAAAGGGAGCCATAGGGCTTGTCACTTAGAGAAGAGAAGTAGAATCCAGACTTTTAGTAGTTCTACTCCAGACCCAATATGAACTATTAGGAAGTTATTTAGATTCCTTGTGCCTCAATTTACCACACATAAAATGGGCATAATATGCCTATGGCTTTGGGAGCTGGGCTATAAGGCTTTGTTAATTAGCAAAGAAAGTGCTTTGAGATGCTTGGATGACAGGCACTGTAGACACATGAAACATTATAAAATGTCTCTCTAAACAGCACACAAGATTTTGCTTCACCAGACCAAATACTTAACCCAGTGTGACAAAGCAGCTGACACACATGGAAAGACAATTGTAGCTCTTAGAATTTCCTTATTTATTAAAGAGCAGAAAGAAATTTTTGCTTAAATTCTATACGTAAAAAAGTAACAGTAAAATTTGCTTTTAAAGTGTTTCCACTGAAGAAAATTGTGAAATAAGTTTTTTTTATTTAAAAAAAATTAATTTACAAAGACACCGCACTATATTGCATGCTGATAGTCACGCCCTTCTCCGACAGGGCCCCACTAAAAATATACTGTTGAACAGTATATGTAAGCAAATGAACCACCTCAATCTGGACTGAAAGTCCCTTCAGCTATTTCAGTCACACAAGCTAGTGGGATATCTCTGTTTTACAAGCTCAGCTCTTTAGTAAAAGAAATTTCAAGTGAACACTAAAGAATTTCACTAAGATGATGAAATATTAAAATTATAAAGCACATTTTTTGCTGTTTGTAAATATACTACATTAGAAATTTCAGTTGTTAGGGATCCATTCACCACAGTTTATTCTGTATTCAAGGTAATTACAAAGACAAAGTATTACTTCCTGCATGCTTTCCTGGGCACAGAACCAGTAGAGTTGACTACATGATGTTTGACTGGAGAGTACTTGGAATTCACTCTCTCAGAGGCAAAGACTAGTTAAGGAGTGTTACCAGTAACAAAGAATAAAAGTTATACAACGTTGATTATTATAAATTAGATTTGTTCTTATCTGCTCCTTTTGCCTTAGTCTCAAATATGTTCATATTCCTCCCTATAGAAAACACTTGTTTTGTATTTCTCATCACAGCAACCACCCAGTCACTAATGGTGATTAGAATGTGTGGAAGAGACCTTGATTCTGAATACATGGATGCGTAGATGGGAAGCAATCTGATTGCACACGCTGATGCAGTAGCGAAGCAAATCAAAGAGGGAAAAGATCTGCAAAGGGAAAAATGGCATGTGTTAGATCTATCTATACTGGACATGAATGTACCATGTTTCATCTATCCTTCATGTTACCACAGTCTCTCTAAAAGCATCAAGGACTGCTCTCTTGAGTCCTTCTCTTCCTCCACTAAAGGTTTATTCCTATAGTCTCTGAAAGCACCAGGCTTTAATTTTTCAGCCTAGAATTTAAATCTACATTTCAATAAAAAAAAAAAGGACATTATAGTGACTGTAGAAAGCTTTTGTAAGATGCCCCATGAGCTGTGGATATTAATGATTTCAAGTGTAGAATTCTGATCTTACTTTGGGACAAAATTTACACAACCCTGTATTTGAATGTATTTTAAAGTGACTCATTGTAATGGGAATGATCAAGTTTCAGCAGTGTAATTTATGCAGCTTGAATCTTTATTACATACCAAGCTCCCAACTAAAACACATGCCCCAGTGAGCATGAAGTGAATGTACTGTAATTCCCTAATAGCTGGGCTTTTCCACTACTTGTAGCTAGTACAGAAAGAAGTTCCCAACTGCTCACAGGATTAAGCAGCTGTAATCATGTTATACCTGCACAGCATGCTTTAGAATGGCTGTCTAGAAAGTGGCAGCCTGATCTGAACTTGGTTTGGTTTTCAATGCTCTAATCAGGGAGAGACATGGTTCTATAGCCAAGACTTCCTCCTCTGAAAGACTCGTCCTGGTAGCTATCGTTGCTCTGATACTACCTGAATTTCAGGAATTCCACCTGTGGGTTTGTGTGTTATAGAGCTTTTGCTGTGGGGCACGCCAAAGTGTGGCAATTACGTTCCTGCAAAAATACATCTCAGCACATTTCTCCCCAATGGGTTCTAAACCTAGGACTTCGAGTACTGCTCATTCAACATGGCTTTAAAACTGTGTTTAAACAGAGTGAGGTTCATAAGCCCAACCAAACCATGTTTCAGCCAAGTTAGCCTGAACCCTGTTTAAAACTGATTCAGGCAAGAAGGTTCCCAAGTCCATGCTTTGTTTGAGTCATCTGTGCACAATTGGTGCAAACGGTGTGTGATCTGTACACAACTGGCACAAACTGTATGCGTATGGGGAGTGTGAGTGAACAAGCAGATGCACAAAAGATCACCGATAAACAGAAAATACGACCTACTTACCATGGCAATCCAAAGTACAATATATTCATCAATAAAGCTGTTAAAGTACTGGTCCAAGAACAAAAGTGCTGGACCTATGAATGCTGTATCATGCAGATGCATTTCACTTTTGGTCATATGTGCAACCTAATTAAAAAAAAAAAAAAAAAGAGACAGTAGTCTAGTCTAAACAAATCCCAAAACCAATGTTTATTATTAACACTGATTATTAACCACTTCTGTATAGAGCAGGGATCTCAAACTCAAATGACCACGAGGGCCACATGAGGACTAGTACATTGGCCCGAAGGCTGCATCACTGATACCGCCCCCACCGCTGCCCCCATTCCACCCCTTCCATGAGGCCCTGCCCCTTCCCACCCCTTCCCCGCCCCCATTCCAACCCCTTCCCCAAAGTCCTCACCCCAACTCTATCCCCTCCCTGCCCCATTCCGACCCCTTCCCCAAATCCCCGCCCCGCCTCCTCCCCTGAGCGCGCGGCTCCCCGCTCCTCTCCCCTCCCTCCTAGAAAGCACTAAGCACCGCCAAACAGCTGTTTGGCGGCAGGAAGCATCTGGAGGTAGGCGGAGGAGCAGGGATGCAGCGCGCGCAGGGGGGCGGCAGGTGAGGGGAGATTGGCGGCCGCAGGAAATAACTCTGGGGGCCATATGTTTGAGACCCCTGTTATAGAGTATTTTAATGAAATGTCACCAAAGTTTATTGCAATGTAAATTACATGCTGCTGATTCGTTCCTTAATGGGCTATGACAAATTCTCAAGAAAAATGTGTGTTGTAGGTACCAATTAGAACCAGATTCATGGGATACACAGCAGCAGCATTAAATCACTTTAATACAGTGAAGGAAGAGTGTGGCTAGTCAATACAGGGAACTGACGTTGTGGGGAAGGTAGACCTTAGAGAAACTACAAAGACCATCTTATACAATAACAAAGATGAAGGAAAAGAATCAATGAATCTGAGGCACTTACCACCAATTTGTTAGTTATCTTAGCAGATACAAAACCAAAAGTAAGTATATATAGGCAAGGATGCTTTTCAAAGAGCTGCACAGCAGATTTCTTGTAGATCATTGCAGCTAATACGATCACTGATCCAATATGAAGAAAGGGTGAAAGGACACTTGTTCCCTATAGCGAGGGAGAAGAAAGTGTTAGCTTAATGAAAAGTGCACACAATTGAACAACAGATGTGTTGTGTGCATATTATTTAAATTAAAATGTGCCTGTTTGAACTCACTTCTGCCAGTAGTGAAATGTGACTGAGTGGTGAAATGTGTCAGCTGATAATATGGTTGGAGGCTTTGGTTTGAAGGTCTCACAAGTTGTGTGTTGTATGAAGGAAACATGCAGTTTCAGCTACAAAACAAAAATGTATTGGGGGGGGCAAGGGGAGGGAAGGCTTCAAATTGCAAAAATGGTGCTGTGGTTATCTTCTAACTCTTGTACAACAGGCAGGAAATGATTCTGTTCTTAAATGACAGGGGCCCAAACATGTGTATGTCTGTATAATGGTGATAATACATTTTTGTTAAGATGTCAATGCTCAAAAGCAAAATATAACTAACAGAGTAGTCCAACTAACTCAACTGGCACAAACAAACAAACAAAAAAAACCACAGACTCTCCTAAAAAGTTCATGAAACCTTTCAAACCGCCCCCCCCCCCAATATCAAAAATCCCTTAAGAAAGAAGTCGGACAAGAATGTTAACTTTGACTATCCCATCTCTTCTGGAAGGTCAATAGCTTTCATATTCTCGTCAGATGCAAAAGCACCAAACAAAAAGCATGCATATCAGAGAGGGAGTTTGGTTTGGAAAATTCATGGATTCTAGAAGGTAAGACCTTGTAGAACATAACAATGGCCATAGTGGGTCAGACCAATGGTCTGTCTAGCCCAGTATCCGGTCTTCCAACAGTGGCCAATGCCAGGTGCTTCAGAGGGAATTAACAGAGCAGGCAATCATTGAGTGATCCATCCTCTGTCATCCACTCCCAGCTTCTGGCAAGCACAGGCCAGACAAACTCTGACCATCCTGGCTAATAGCCATTGATGGACCTATCCTCCATGAACTTATATAGCTCTTTCTTGAACCCTGTTATAATTTTGGCCTTCACAACATCCCCTGCGAACAAGTTCCACAGGTTGATCGTGTGTTGTGTGAAGAAGTACTTCCTTATGTTTGTTTTAAACTTGTTGCCTTTTAATTTCATTGGGTGACCCCTAGTTCTTGTGTTATGTGAAGGAGTAAATAACACTTCCTCCACACCAGTCAATAATTTTATAGACCTCTATCCATTTCCCCTCTTAGTCATCTCTTTTCCAAGATGAAAAGTCCCAGTTTTTTTCCATCTCTCCTCATACAGAAGCTGTTCCATACCCCCTAGTAATTTTTGATGTCCTTCTCTGCCCCTTTTCCAATTCTAATATATCTTTTTTGAGATGGAGTGACCAGATCTGCACACAGTATTCAAGATGTGGGCGCACCATGGATTTATATAGCGGCAACATGATATTTTCTGTCTTATTATCTATCCCTTTCCTAATGGTTCCTCACTTTTGGTTAGCTTTTTTGATTGCCACTGCATAGTGAGCAGATATTTTCAGAGAACTATCCACAATGACCCCAAGATCTCTTTCTTGAGTGGTAATAGCTAATTTAGACCCCATCATTTTGTATGTACATAGGACTAATGTCAAAGCATGGGAGGTGATTTTATCATTCACCTATTTCAAATCCATCCTTTTAAAACCTTTTCTCAATTCCAAAAGCTACTATTTTCATTTAGACAAGATTTACCCCTTTTTTCAAGCTAGTAAACTAGGAGAAAGAGGATTTTACACTCAAAGCAGACATTAAATTAACACACTTGAAAGCATATCAGTTTTCTATAAACCATCATGCAAACTACAGAGCACTCAGAAAAGAAAGTAACATAATAGCAAAACAAAACACTCACAGCTATAGTCGATCCATTTTTGCCAACACCACCTGTGAAGATCACACCAAAATAGTTTGTGCAGGAGAATATGGTTCCTGCAACAGTACAAAGAGCTGGGAATATTTTCATTTGAATATTCAGCACTGGAATCTTGACAGAGAAATAAAAAGATTAAAATATGTACAATTAATCTAAAATCATGTATACCTATTTCAAGTAAACTCAAACGCTCCACTTTTCTAACTCCAGATTTGGGGTTTCCTCTCTCCCCAAAAATTAGTTAATATCGGTTTAAATTTCTAGGAAATGAATTTGGGAGGAAACTATATTTTCTCACCCACCATATTAGCAACATTTCCTGATCCATTTGCTTTTATATTTAATTACCGAAGAACAGTCACGGTGCAGAATCTCTGTCTCCTAATATTATCCTTCACAATGCTGGACACTTATCAACCAACCTCTAAAACCCGAGTGACGGGTTCCTCAGCACGGAGAGAACAGAGGGCTAGCACGAGCCAAAGGATAGACCCCACACTTAGTATCCCAGTCCTGAGTGCAGGGAGAAGCCAGATATCAGTGGGGATTAACCTGTGAAGACCCATAAACTGGACCACACCCAGAGAACAGACCAGGTATAATGAGAAGAGGCATGATAGGAAACAGCAGAGAGGCAACCAGCCGCTAAGATTACTTTTCAAAGTAAAAGGGGAGTAGGTGGCTGGGTTGTTAGCAAGGGAGTGAGAAATGAAGGCAAGATGGGCTGTGAAGGAAATCTAATAATCCTCTCATCTTTTCGACATAGTGCCTTGGGCGGAGAAGTAATTATAAAAGGAGACAGAACCACCCAGCAACAAGAGTCCCCCAACCTTATCCAACCGACTGCTAAAGAACTACTTGGACCCTCCAGTAACAAGCATCTATACTCATAACACTTCCGAAATGAGTAAACATGCTCCATAGCGAAGGTCCCCATACGTCTATTTCATATGGGAGCCTAAATGGGTTCAAGTTGTTTTTATTTTAGTATTTTGAATTGTACGCCCAGTCTGGCTTTGAGGCTTTTCTAATAGATAATTCTTAGCACTTACATCATGCTTTACAACTTCAGAGCACTATGCAAACATCAATCAGTCCATACATACCCCCATGTTTGGTACTTTATTAACCCCATTTTAGAGAGAGAGACAGGAAGTGACTCACCCAAGTTCACATTGAATGAGTGGCTGTAACTGGGATTAGAGTGCAGTAGGTTCATGCAGATTTTTTGTTGAATTATAAGGTGCAGTTAGAGACTAATTTGGCTCCATAGTTCTATCCATGAGTTGCCCATATGGAGCCTACAACCAAAACCAAGCGGAGGAGGAGGATTAACAGCACCTCACCTGATTGTTGCTCTGCACTCTGGAGTTCCACTTGAGTAGAAAGTTCTAATTATGCTCTTTGGAACAATCTTAGGGACCCCGCCTACCCATCCTGCTTACTCTGCTCTTTTGCTCAAAGACAAGATTCAGACAGTGAAACTGCAGAGTGGAGAAAGCGAGCTAAACTGAAAAATTCAGTAACAAACACACTGTTACTCATAGAGGTGCTCCAAAGCTTGTACCACTCTTATTAAAACAGCCTGCCTGTGCTGCCATCTGTTTTTATGCTTTCTTCAGTGGTCAGTATTTGAGAATGGGGTGATGGGGTTGTGCTTCTTTGTACATGTGAGGAGAGAAGAACAAGAGTAACATTCTACCCATGCTGGAATCTGGACAGAGGCGGTTTCAGGATGCCACAGAAAAAGGAGTTGCAATAGTCAAGAGGTCTCGTACGCTGGCAAAAAAAACAAAACAGGATTTATAATTCACCACTAGGACAGCTCCAGGAACAATGGACAATACAGGCAGTGGAAGCTGTAACGTGGACAGGACACAGAGTAGAGTGAGACTACATAATGATAAAAATGTTTGATTTCACCTGAGCCATAGCTATCTTACGGCTCCCACCACTGCTATCACTGATGGAGCTGCACCAAATGGTTAATTACAAGGTCCTATTTTTGCCCAGTGTAAATGAATCCTACGTGATAGGAGATGAAGGCATGGACAAAGACTTCCGCAGTGGTGGAGTGAAGGAAGTAATATATTAAATTAATGTTGCAAAGCCATGACAAACCGATTTGCAGATAAAATAAATGTGGAAAGAGTTCTGAGTCAAAGATTATGAACAGCAGAGACAAATGGATGGCATGAGTCAAAGAAGGAAACAGGCGATAGAGTTGTGCTGGAGGATGATCCTCATACTTTATTAACACTTCTGTCTTTAGAGTGTTTAGCAAAGGAGGCTGAGATAAAGCCCCAGGTTTACTTGCTCTTTGGTATTCTATATAGAATTGTAGCCCATACTACAGTTTTGCCCTTTACACAGCTTGATCTTGCCAGGTGTTGACCACTGATTTCAGTGGGAGTTAAAGGTGTGCAACACTACGTAGGTCTGAATGTATAGTGCTGAAAAGAGTCCCAGGTCAGATCTTCAGGTAAATGATGCTTCTCTATTAAATCCTTTGAAGTTGATCAAGTCTGGTTATGCTGCTGCAACAGCAGGATACCCAACTTCAAAAATAGAGTGCAGTCTGCTTAAAAGCAATGGGATTCCAAGTTCTGCCACAGAGACATAAGCATGTCAATAAAAATAAATGTCCCAGTGGGTAAGTGCTCTAATCTGTCCTTGGGCAACCAGTGTTCAGATCCAGATTCATTCACAAAGGAAAATGAGTTTGGGACGCTCATTCATGACTCATCCTAATTTGTTTACCTCCTATAACTAGGCTTGCAAGAACCAGATTTTGATCAGTAAATGTCGATTTCACTGCACACACCAACCAATGAAACAATAATCAAAGTTTACAGATAGGCAAAGTAAGAAAAATGCTACTTGAGAACTTAGAGTTTAAGGATATATACTCCGACTATTTTGACATGTGATGTTGACAATGTGTGTTTTAATGGGTGTAAAGCTCTAACTTTTTGAATCTCAATGTCTCCTGTCATTAGATAATTATTGTCTGACACCCCCCCCCCCATTATCTGACCTTTCCATAATTTCCATAACTGTTATTTAAACTGATAATTGAAAAAAAATACTTAAAAATAAACAATATAATCCATTAAAACTATAAAAAAAATAAAAATTGAATTTTTCCAAGCCTACATATAACTGACCCACAGCTCAACATGTCCACAAATAACAAAACCTCCGGTCACAAGGGAGAATGAGGAAATCTGAGAGAGAGAGTCAAGAATGATAGTCATCAAGATGAGATGTGGTCAAGGAAAGGGAACAAGTTGAAGGGTAAGAGGCAGAACACAGACGATATCAGAACCAGAAACAAGACCAAAGCAAAAGTGAGAATAAAAGAGGGGGAAGGGCTCTGACCGGATGTTATCAAGGAGCGTGGAGACCTAGGAAAGAAGGGAAACCATTAAAGCAGCAAGTAGGGTCAAGAGAAAGTTGATTGACAGCACACATTGAAACGTGGAAAGAAAGGAGGCAGAGGAGAAGGAATAGTTAATGATGAGACAAGGGAAGGGATGGGGGCAGGGATTAGAGACTTGCGTACCACATGTGAAGATACCTCTATCATCAATGTTGGTGGCTGTCAATAGACCCGGATTCATGGAGGGTGAGATACAATGAAGTAGTGGCGCAAAGCTACAGACAGGCAGAAGAGCAATGTTGAGGGGAAAGAAAAGCACCACTGAAGAGCACATTATGGGCCAGAGGAGATTCCAGCAATACTACTCCATAAAAGAGAACACATTTAAAATAGTGGTATTTCTCCCTGTAAATATTTCTTGTGATTGGATTCTTTCCTTCACAGTTCAGATTCATAGGAGGTAGTGTGGCAGAACAAACTGGGCTAGTCATAGTGGAAGGTTTAAATCAACTGCTCCCTGTAAACTTTCCAATTACACTGGTCTACAATTTTTGAGAAGTCGTCTGCTTCAGAGATAAAATGTGCTATTTATTATGTATTTTGATGTGCTGAATTCAAATATGACAATTAAAATAATATTGGCTACTGTTTCTAAGATATTTAAGTTTTTACATTTTATGTCTATGTATATTGTGTAGATAGTAGAGTTTTAATCATAAATTGTAAACCTAGGTCTTTTCATGTGTTTATGGTTGCTTTACATGATAATATTTCACCTGTCCTGTTTATGTAACACTTTAAAAAAAACAAAGGGTTAATATAAAAAAAATTATGAAACAAAAGGCAAAAAACAATTATGTACATAGTTTAGCCCTATTCAGTGTCTACTCAGCGCTTCTTGGCTTGTCTCTTTTTTTCATTAAATGGAGCATCTCTTTGCACCTTC